AAAAGATTGCAAAAGTTCAGGCAACAAGAACCCAAGCCCCAGCTGAGCTGGCCTTGCTCATCCTGGTTGCGAATGATCTTTCCGGCTGTCAACGGTGCTCGGAAGATCTCCCGGCTTCTTGCCTCGGAGCTCTTGCCCCAGTGGTTGTGGATCAGAATCAGCTCAAATATGCTCAAATTTTGCCAACTGCTTTGGTCGAATTTGGTCAAGATGCATTCTGAAACAACATGAACAAACATGTGTGGCTCGCCAAGCAACATCCATCTGAGTCCACCGAGTGATCCCGTGAAAAGAATTGCAGTTTTCAATCTTCTGCCCCTGCAATGGAACGAGGCTGAATTTACGTAATGTTACCAGTTGGAGAAATGTCCTGTATGAAAAAGCAATCACGCATGCCAACACATGCCAACAGGCAATTTGTGGGGTCAAGCAACGAGGCTGGCCTGTGTGTTCGGGATTGCTTGAGAAAGAGAACTGTCCCTCCTTAGTTTCCAGTTGCGAGTGGCACATCATGCTCACAAAGAATTTCTTGCTTGAGCAATGTATGCTTGGTCAATCAGCAAATTGCATCAATTTTGCAACTACCAAGGCACACTCTTCTGTGGTGACCTTTCTGCAATTTCTTCGTCCGATCAATGAGGTCAGAATCTTGGCATCCCATTGGGAATGCATCCTCTCAGTCCATGGATCGTGTCACAGCAGCAAGTAAGAAGCTACCTAAACCACCTTAAATGAAAACCTGTGCGTGAGTGCGCTAATAGGAAATTATAAGAACCTGTGCGCGAGCATGCCTAGTCACCTGGGAGGAATGCAACACAAAGTATCTTAAGCTCATGCGCGCAGATTCCGGACACGCTGTCATGCGCGCAAGGTCACGGCGCGCATATGCGCGTAGATTGCTTGCGCGCATGCATTCTGGGCCACGTGCGCGCAAATCAGGGGCGCGCTGCAAGCTACAAACCCACCAACCACAACTTACAGAGTATGACTGTGAAGAAACTCTGGGACACAAAGTATCTTATACTCATGCACGCAGATTCGGGGCGCGCTGTCATGCGCGCAAGGTCACGGCGCGCATACGCGCGTAGATTGCTGGCGCGCATGCATTGTTGGCCACCTGCGCGCAAATCATGGGCGCGCTGCAAGCTATAGAGACCCACCAACCACAACTTACAGAGTATGACTGTGAAGAAACTCTGGAACACAAAGTATCTTACACTCATGCGCGCAAGGTCACGGTGCGCATATGCGCCTCCAAGGCGTAGATTGCTGGCGCGCATGCATTCTTGGCCACCTGCGCGCAAATCATGGGCGCGCTGCAAGCTACAAACCCACCAACCACAACTTACAGAGTATGACTGTGAAGAAACTCTGGAACACAAAGTATCTTACACTCATGCGCGCAGATTCGGGACGCGCTGCATGGTGCCATGGACCCACTTGAGGGAACCCATTTGGGAGAATGAGGACGAACGGAAGTCTGAATTTACACATTTTAATCTGGTAATTCGTCTACATAAAGTGCAACAGTTGGCCTTGCACTTGTCGGCCATTTTGTCCTGCCGCTGATATGTTGCCCCGGGATCTTCCAATTCTGCTCAAGTGCCGCTGTTCTGAACAGCCAGAAACAAGGTCTTTTACAGTGAAAGAGCGACAGCCCATTTTGGATCGTTACACTACAGGCTGAGGCTACATGCTTTTAGGTGTGGTCTACTTTCTTGTGATGGTTCTCTGGTGAGGTTGAACATATCGTGCACCTAATTCATTTGAACTTGAACAACCGTTTAGTGCCCACTTGTCGGTTTGACCGACTACCGTCCCTCCGAGAGAACAACGCCCGACCTTCTTTTTAGAAACTGAATCCCATTTCATTTATTTTGTTGTTTCGCCCATGTTCACCAACTAGTTCCCCATTCGGTCCACTATTTCATGTGTGCTTCCCTCCTTAGGTAGGTCGGGTCCTGCGCGTGCTGAGGTGTGCTTAGGTTTCGCCGTGGTAGGTTGGTTCAGGCGCTTCTGTCTTCCCCCCCTGGTTTTGCTCCGTTTCCGTCGGCCTCCACTTTTCTTTTCTCTTGCCCTTTCAGGGTTTGCCGGCTCCGGGCCAGGTGTGTTGGTGTTGGTGTTTTCTCTTTCCCTCTTCTTTTGCGTTCCCCTCCTCGTGTCCTGGTTAAGCATTTTCCATGTCATCTTCATGTTCATCTCATTCTCATTCTCTTTTCATCCTCACTTTCACCTCATTTGTCAGGACTTTACCCTGCCCAGAGCAAGGTGTGTGTGTGTGCAACGTCTGAACAGCAGTAAAACTTCGCTGCCCGCTTATTTTATCACAGCATTTTATTATAGCAGGGGATCACCGGGGTCCCAGGGGGGTCGGTGATCAACGAAGACACCTCCCCGGGACCCGTGTAAACGTACCTGCGGGACTGTGGTGGTGCACCTGGGCGCATTTAAGTCGCATTTAAGTCGCAGCTGGTGGCCACCATAGTCCCACATATATATATATATATATACATGTCATTTTTATATATTTCCCTTCTAGTTGCACGTTTCTGGGATTCAGTTCCCGACTGATCACTACAATGATCTAGCTCTATTCTAGTGTGTGAGCGTTAACATACCACCACATCCCACCCAACCCCAACGCCACCCCATGCATGCAGAATGGAACATGATTGGAAAAAAAAACAAACATAATCGTACAATATCGTACAATCAACATATTGCATTATAATCATTATATTATTATTGCCATCTGTGTTTAGAATTCTAATCTTTTTGTTGAATTCTGAGTGCCACATGGCTTAGAGACCCTGATGAATAAATTTTAGAGAAATGTGAACGATGTTGTTTACATATATATATATATATTTAGATACATTATGGTATATTTAGATGGCCAGAGATTCATCCATATAAATGAACGAGTCACCAGCAAGCGCTTACCCAGTTGACCCATTTGAAATTTGCTATATATGGGTGAAGTGTTCATGCCTTCAACCCATTCATATCCCATTTCATGTCCCCAAATCCATTCATTTCCGTCTGAATCTCCAATTGCTCCGCCTAAATCTATCAACAAACCCATTTCTTGCTAACAGTACATTTCCCAATTTGGCTGGTCAACAGAGCTCACAAATTAAAGTTCCCATGTATTCAATTTTGGGATAACACATGCTCCAGTTTGTTGGGCAGCAAATTTCCACATGGGTGTGTCCAAAAAAATGGCTAAACCACACCAAATGGCGATGGAGAACATATAGAAAATTATGGTCAACCACTGAATTTTGGGATGTCATGAGCCATTGAACCTTCCTCTGTTGATTGGTTAATTGAGGTGGTTGTACTAATTGCTTTATGGCGGCGTACTAAAAGCCAAAGTAAGGAAATCATATTTACCATCGATTACCATAAGATGGGATACCCTCTAGTTATTTAATATACTGTAGCTTAAAAAACACACATTTTTCCATATATAGGTAAACAATCACAAATCATCTATCAATCAGCCATTTCCACAAAAAACGAAGTTCAACAATCAGATAGTAGGGATATTTTGCAATTGCTCACATTTTAACTTCTCCCCCCAACATCCATGTTTACCCAGGTGCTGATGGACAAATCCGAGGCGTCAATGCGCTCGCCGTGGGGCTTGATGTGACACACCTGGCCACCAGGGTCGCAATGGGACATCCACTGAGAAACCAGCATTTAAATGGAAAACCAGGCTACAATGGGTTTGGCCTCTACCATGATTGATGCATATAGCTATACAGAACT